AGGCCAAGTTAATCTACTATAAAAAAAGTGGGTTGCAACACAAAATGTTCCTGCTGGAGCAGGACATATTTATGGTACACTTACACCCAAGCAAGCACTCAGCTCAGATGAAGTACATGAGCTACCTCAAAATGAGGAGATTCCTCTAATTATATGTGACCCTTACACAGGATCAACAACTGAAGTTCAACCTTCATTTTCTACAGTTTCATCTAACACAACTTTACATAATAATACCTTAACAGAGTCAGAACCACTTTCAGAGAGCTCATCTCTATATTCCCTGGATTCTATAAATGCAATACATGAGGCTACTGAATTGACCAGTCTTCCACATGAACCCAGAAAACCAAGTGAAGCTACAGATGAAACTGCAAGTGCAGCTGCAACAGCCAGTGATTATGTATCTTGGTTATCTTGATTTGAGTGAATTTGAAACAGAAGATGAAGATGCAGCTGAAGCTGGAGTAAAAGCTGAGGATAAGCAAGAAGCCTTAAGCAAAACTAGTGATTGTCATAATCACTCACACCGGCATCCTACGGGGGATACTGAACCGATCAGCATCAATCAAGCCATCCAGCTCCCTAAGGCAAGTGCTGACAATGAGAAGACTATCATCAACATCATGCACCAACTACTAGACTTATCTCAACCAGATCAGACAGTTGACTCCTTACAAGCTTTTAGTTTTCAGCTTGAGTCACTGTTAAGATCCTTTAGCAAGGAGGTGGATCACCCCACTGCTGAGTGGATGTCGAAAATTATCATCCAGAGAAAACTGTCTGGTGAGATGCTCAACGAATTATATTTATACCAGAATGGTAATGTCCTGTCAATGCAGGATATATATACAGGTTTGCGTAACATAATAAATATACCAGCAAACCAGGCACATAATGTCTATTCTGAACCCACAGAAACTGTACCCATATTAGGTACCATACCTGAAACTCCTAAAGTGACACAGTCATTAGGTAATACGGGTACTAATAACCAATGTAATAACAACAGGTCAAACACTGATTCCTCAGTAAGACCTAAGAGCACCACAAGTGCTACCAAGAGACCCTGGAGTCCAGTAAGTACTCCCAAGAGCCCAATAGCTGCTCCCAAGAGTACACCGAACACTTCCACCCCAAGTTGGAAGAAACAAAACAACAAGCAAATGCAAACAGCAAAACCTTCACAACCAGTAGTTGCAGTTACACCTAAACCAGTGACCCCTAAACGACCTGTTGGATGGATGTTGTTTGTTCTGCAATCAAAAATGTACAAATGTACTGATTACCCTAATAGAGATACCGGAGTCAGGCGATTGACACAGATACACAGATGTACTAGGTGTCTCAAAACTCATAATACTAACAGCTGTGACACCCCACTGAACATCTACAATTGGTGCAGAAGAGGCAAACATCATGATGCACTGTGTAAATTTGTCAAAACAAATTATTTTAATCCTAGAATAGGAGGTAGAGAATCTACACAAGTACAATACTGCAAAGTCCAAAATGTTTACAGCATAATTTCACCAGCGTCTCAAGTGGATGCAGCCTTGCCTACTGCCCAACTCCAGGTAAAGAATAAAGGGACCAAAATCACCACTCGTCGACGTCGACACTGTTGAGAAAGCAGATGAAGTGGTTAGTTATCCAACATAATTGTTTAACTCACTCGATCTGCCAGGGATACTATCACACGTGTGAGGAGATGGTTCACCAGTTCACTTACAATAGTGCTCTTATGCCTGTGGAGACCAGTACACTTGTTAAGTGTGCGAACTTAAGTTTGGTAACCAGCAACCGACATCTAGTGTTTGGGCTAATGTGAGAGCCCCAGTCATCAGTAGTCCAGAAATGTTACCCTGGCCGGGGTAGCACGTCTGTGGACAGTGCTAGGGTCGATAGCATCATCTCATTGTATGGCTTGAAGCGAGACTCGAGTTTGCGCAGGAAACAAGCTAGGCCCCAGCTGTAATGCTGGATATATCGGAAGTTCCATTCGGAACTTTAAGATTAGGATACTTGAGCACCGGGGAGTATCTTTTAGGACTGACTCATTCTCTGCTGGAATCTTATTTTAAAATTCTGAACACTTGTATGAATGGCCAGTCAGATTTGAGAGTAATGGAATCCTTATATATAAAGGAACTGCGGCCTCTGTTAAATAGCAACCTTCGGCTGTTCAATTGTACACTGTATAGTGCACAGTAGGACCTGTAGTTTGATTTATAGTTTATTCTGGCAGTTTAATTTTATTATAATTTTGTTTAGTTTTCCATGTCTTTGCCTTTTCTTACTTATTTTAAGTCTTGACATTGTACATTTGTATAATCTTTTTATTTAGGACATATAATACATTTTTTGGTATTTAGATTTGTTTAATATTTGAGTTTTTATAAGATTTTGGTTAGTACCGTGAAAATATATATATATATATATATATATATATATATATATATATATATATATATATATATATATATATATATATATATATATATATATATATATATATATATATATATATATATGAATTAGAAACTTCAGACTTACATGCTGCATGCAAACAGATTTCTGTGATGCAGTTTTTTGGTATTAGAAACTATTCAGCACTACGACTCACAGAGCAACTCAATTCTTACAATGTTTCTTGATTTCTCCAAGGAATTTGACAAAGCATACCACACCACACTTTTCAAAGAATTGCTGAAAAGAAAAGTATGACCTGCAATCACTAGATGCTCATATATTTCTTATCAGGTAAGCTAAGATGTTGTGAAAGGGAGTGTGTTCTATTCTAGAATGGGTCAAACAAAGAGCTGTGTTTAGTCTTTTATATTTCTATTTTTTTTTGCTGTCTAACTTTATCGACCTGTAGAGAGTTAAAAATCAGTAGAGCAGGCTGTCATATAATGTTTTTTCATCAACCAACCACCAAAGAGGCTATGATTTGTTTTTTAGAAATATATGAATTATTTAGTGCTGAATACAACCCTACGTTCGATCCTGGTAAATGTTCACCATCTATGAACACAACATAACCACCCCGGGATACGTCGTTCCAGCACCAGTAGCTCACTTGCTACTATCAACACTTCACTGTCTTCAACGACCAGGTCCTTTCTTGTTCCGACCGAAACAAGCCTTGCATTCCTGAGGACTGCACCCAATCACTTAGGGTGGAGGGTAGAGCGACAGTCTCGCTTCATGCAGGTCGCTGCTCAATTCCCGATCGTTTAAGTGGTTGGGAACCATTCATTTCCCCACCACATTCCAAAATCCTTATCTTGATACCTTCCCAGTGTTATATAGTAACAATTGTTTGGTGTACTTTGTTGATAGTTCCTTTCCCTTCCCTTCTTAATGACTGCCCTTGCTCGCCACTCCATGTGGACTGCATTTCGCCGTCCAACGAATCTCTCACATATTCTGAGGAAAGAAACTCCTTTAGTACGAAGGAAGCTACACGATCTGCGATCGACAGATGTGTTAACATCGTCACAGTGAAAGACTGTTGTAGCAAAAATAGACTATTGCGGGTGTAATGCAGCTGTAGCAGGTGTGAATCAGCTCTGAAGGGTTTGGTCCAGCATGGTGGGTGTTCACCAGCTCAGGTGGGTGTTCACCAGCTCAGGTGGGTGTTCACCAGCTATGGTGGGTGTTCACCAGCTATGGTGGGTGTTCACCAGCTATGGTGGGTGTTCACCAGCTATGGTGGGTGTTCACCAGCTATGGTGGGTGTTCACCAGCTATGGTGGGTGTTCACCAGCTATGGTGGGTGTTCACCAGCTATGGTGGGTGTTCACCAGCTATGGTGGGTGTTCACCAGCTATTGTGGGTGTTCACCAGCTATGGTGGGTGTTCACCAGCTTTGATAACTGTGGACCAGCTGTGATGAGTATGGACCAGGTGTGATGAGTATGGACCAGGTGTGATGAGTATGGACCAGGTGTGATGAGTATGGACCAGCTGTGATGAGTATGGACCAGCTGTGATGAGTATGGACCAGGTGTGATGAGTATGGACCAGCTGTGATGAGTGTGGACCAGGTGTGACAAGTATGGACCAGGTGTGATGAGTATGGACCAGCTGTGATGAGTATGGACCAGGTGTGATGAGTATGGACCAGGTGTGATGAGTATGGACCAGCTGTGATGAGTATGGACCAGGTGTGATGAGTATGGACCAGCTGTGATGAGTGTGGACCAGGTGTGACAAGTATGGACCAGGTGTGATGAGTATGGACCAGGTGTGATGAGTGTGGACCAGGTGTGATGAGTATGGACCAGGTGTGATGAGTGTGGACCAGCTGTGATGAGTGTGGACCAGGTGTGATGAGTGTGGACCAGCTGTGATGAGTGTGGACCAGGTGTGATGAGTATGGACCAGCTGTGATGAGTGTGGACCAGGTGTGATGAGTGTGGACCAGCTGTGATGAGTGTGGACCAGGTGTGATGAGTGTGGACCAGGTGTGATGAGTGTGGACCAGGTGTGATGAGTATGGACCAGGTGTGATGAGTATGGACCAGCTGTGATGAGTATGGACCAGGTGTGATGAGTATGGACCAGCTGTGATGAGTGTGGACCAGGTGTGACAAGTATGGACCAGGTGTGATGAGTATGGACCAGGTGTGATGAGTGTGGACCAGGTGTGATGAGTATGGACCAGGTGTGATGAGTGTGGACCAGCTGTGATGAGTGTGGACCAGCTGTGATGAGTGTGGACCAGGTGTGATGAGTGTGGACCAGGTGTGATGAGTATGGACCAGCTGTGATGAGTGTGGACCAGGTGTGACAAGTATGGACCAGGTTTGATGAGTATGGACCAGGTGTGATGAGTGTGGACCAGGTGTGATGAGTGTGGACCAGGTGTGATGAGTGTGGACCAGATGTGATGAGTATGGACCAGGTGTGATGAGTGTGGACCAGGTGTGATGAGTGTGGACCAGGTGTGATGAGTGTGGACCAACTGACTACAGATGTATGGTGACCAACAGGTACGGGACGATAAGCTACCCCGGCGCCACCATGACAGCGGCCGGCTGCGAGGACATGATCCGTGACCTCCGTCATCACAGAGTGAAGGTGGAGCAGTTTGTGGTCCCTCGCGCCATCCCTCTCTCCGACCACCAGCTGGACCACCTCATTACCCTTGCTAGGACCATGCGCGGGTCTTACTTCTGGAGGTGAGTCTCTCTCTCTCTCTAACTTCAGTCATCACTGCCACCATTACTACCACCACTACACCTCCAACACTACTGCCACTATTACTACCATCACTACACCTCCAACACTACTGTCACTATTACTACCACCACTACACCTACAACACTACTGCCACTATTACTACCACCACTACACCTACAACACTACTGTCACTATTACTACCATCACTACACCTACAACACTACTGCCACTATTACTACCACCACTACACCTACAACACTACTGCCACCATTACTACCACCACTACACCTCCAACACTACTGTCACTATTACTACCATCACTACACCTACAACACTACTGCCACCATTACTACCACCACTACACCTCCAACACTACTGCCACCACTACACCTACAACACTACTGTCACTATTACTACCATCACTACACCTACAACACTACTGCCACTATTACTACCATCACTACACCTACAACACTACTGCCACTATTACTACCACCACTACACCTACAACACTACTGCCACTATTACTACCATCACTACACCTACAACACTACTGCCACTATTACTACCACCACTACACCTACAACACTACTGCCACCATTACTACCACCACTACACCTACAACACTACTGTCACTATTACTACCATCACTACACCTACAACACTACTGCCACTATTACTACCATCACTACACCTCCAACACTACTGTCACTATTACTACCATCACTACACCTCCAACACTACTGCCACTATTACTACCATCACTACACCTACAACACTACTGCCACCATTACTACCACCACTACACCTCCAACACTACTGTCACTATTACTACCATCACTACACCTACAACACTACTGCCACCATTACTACCACCACTACACCTACAACACTACTGCCACCATTACTACCATCACTACACCTACAACACTACTGCCACCATTACCATCACCCACACTCCTCCAACACCATTACCTGCCACCATTACAATCACCAACACTCCTCCAACACTACTGCCACCATTACCACCACCACTACTCTTCCAACACTACAGCCACTATTTCCACCACCTCTACTCCTCCAAAACCACTGCCACCATTACCACCACTAAGACTCCTCCATCACTACTGCCACCATTACCACCACCAACACTCCTCCAACACTACTGTTATGAGGGGCAGGTGGTTGTTCTGTGAGGGCCAATAGCTAAAGTCAAGAAATTCCTAAAATATTGGAAATACGTACGCCCGGCCCCCAGGGAAGATCATTCCCAGCAATTAATAAGTGAAAGTCTGTTGTCTACGGTTAATCACCTACTCCACTCCAAACTGGATGAAAGGATCCTCCTAAACTTTATCCTTATTTATTAAATCCTCTAATAACCCCCATATACAAAACTACAATCAATTACTTTACCACTCTACTTTACGTTAAAATCCTTGCACCTACATAGGCAGGATGCAAAACTTACAAACTGCAACTAGAGTAAAGACTACTTTTCCTGAAGGGACACTTGTAAACACATATAGGTAGCACTTGCAAACAAGACACGTGGTCGGTCACCTTAAACCACCCCTCTTAAGTGGGGCTCAAACCCTGGCTTAAGGAGTCACCATTAAATAACCTAGTACTCGGTGGCATTTAATACTATACACAAGAAGTAGGTACTTAGCTTATACACAGGTTACGGAGAGAAAAGAGAGGAGGAAGAGGAGGATGAACAGAACCCACATGGTCGTGTGTGACCGCACTGAGCACCAGCCAGCCAGAGAAGAACGAGCAGGAGCGCTCTCAAGATCGCTGCCTTGAGAGATACTCAACTGATCGTACAGCACCAAATATACGTCTTCACAGACATTCATTACTAGGTACTTTAACATTTCTCAGAATAGCTAATAACTAGCTCTATATTATATATTATATAATTAACCCAAGAGTTTTCCAGCTCTGTGAGCAACAAGGATATTCCTACGTCTGACAGAGAAGACGGAAACAAAACACATCAGGGGTATGAAATGCCCTGAATATAAGTAACTGTAAATTAAATATCCATCTTACGTAATACATTCCTATCAATCTATATAAATAAAAATGGAAATGTTCGTTTGTTCAAAATCGCTAATCTCCGTAAGTTCTTCACCGATTGTGTTGAAATTTTCACACAACGTTCCATTTATATACATACTATATAGATGTCACGTCTGTGACGGAAAAAAAACATGATTTAAAAAATAACAGTTTTTTTCATGTGAGGGAAATCTTCGAAACCTCTTCACCGATTTCTTTGAAATTTTTACACAACGTTGCATTCGAATAGGCGAGTGTTTTTAAATACCTACTATATAAATACCTCACCTGTGACAGGAAAAAACATGCTTTTTTTGAAAAAAAGCGCCCTCTGTTGGATGTCAGAGCAACACATGCTGTGATCTACAAAGTTCTTCACTGATTTCTTTGAAACTTTGACACAACGTTCCATTCGAATATGTGCATGTTTTTATATATCTACTATTTTAATGCCACACCTGTGACAGGTAAAAACATGCTTTTTTGAAAAACAGCGCCATCTGTTGCATGTAAGAGCAACACACGCTAGGCAAAATATGTTACGATTCCATTTCAATGTTTCCAATTGCATTGATATATTGAATTTTCATAAATTTTGATTTATTTTCATTTTGATTTAATTATTTTATGTGACATTGCATTGGAATTGAGCTGCGTTGTTTACCATACCGTTCATTTCGTGGGTATAGTTTATTTGTTTCTTCTTTCATTGTTTTTCATTTCGTTTTTTTAACTGTTCTTCTTATTTTTCAGTGCAATTGGTGGTGAAATTGAGCTGTGTCGATTTATCTGCGTTTGAATTGAAATTTTTAGTTAATATTTTTTGTTTTTGTTTTGAAAACAAGAAAATGGACAACACGTTAATTTCACAGCTGCAAATGTGCAACAAACAGCTATGAATCCACCGGCTAGAACGTTAACTGCTTTCTTCACGTTATGTCAAAATGACGCGATTGCGAAAATACTGCTGTATTCGGAAGTGCCTACAAATTATACGTAGAATGCCAGTAGAAAATCATATGAACGACGCAAACGAGGAGAGCGAGTCGACGGACAACCTGGCATATTCAAATAAACTACGATAGGCAGACTGTACATTGTGCATCCCAATCAAGATCAATGCTTCTTTCTTCGTATGTTGTTGGTAAATGTGATCGGTCCAACGGCTTTCCAGCAATTGAGATTTGTCAGCGGCGTAACACATACCACTTCCCGTAGTGCATATCAAGCTCTCAATTTATTGGAGAACGACTGACAGTGGGATCTATGCATTAATATGCGTCCAACACGTCACATCCAAATCAAATTCGTGCATTGTTTGCAATCAAATTGACCACCGACTCTCCTTCATCTCCAACAGAGTTATGGGAGAAATATAAATCGCACATGGCTGAAGTGTATTTGTATCGAACAGTCCGTCGAATACGCCAGGAAAATTAAAATATGAACATGGATTTCACAGCAAAAATGTACAACGAAGCGTTGATAATAATTGAAGATTTGTGCTTAGAAATCGTGAACAAGGTTTTCTAGCAATTAGAAATGCCATCACCGAATCGATCTGCTGCTGCTTCGTTCGATGTAGAATTGTGTCGTGAACAAAGTTACAACACGGGTGATCTGTTGTCGTATGTGCACTCAAATATTCCTAATCTAACGCTAGAGAGAAAAGGCATCTACAGTCAAATAATTCAAACTGTCAGTAATGTGCTTGGAGATATCTTCTTAGATGCGCCAGGAGGAACTGGTAAAAGCTTCCTAATTAGATTAATTCTGGCAACATTTCGATCCCAAAATGGTCTAACCGTAGCTCTTGCATCGTTCGGAATAGCTGCGACATTGCTACCAGATGGAAGAACGGCTACTTCGGCTTTGAAATTGCCATTGAACATGCAATTCATTGAAACTCCCACATGCAACATTTCCAAAGCATCCGGCATAGGAAAAGTATTTGCAGAAATGCAAACTTATTGTTTGGGATGAATGCATAATGGCCCCAAAAAAATCGATCGAGGCTCTTGATCGATCATTGCAAGATTTGCGTGGAAACATCAGACCATTTGGGACCGCATTAATATTGTTTGCAGATACCAAGCAAACATTACCTGTAATTCCTCGATCGACACCAGCAGACGAAATAAATGCTGGGCTGAAATACTCTACTTTGTGGCGCCACATAAAGACGTTAAAATTAACTACAAATATGTGTGTCCAGCTGCAAAACGATCCATCAGCTAAGATATTCTCTTGTCAATTTATGGAAATTGGGAACGGAAATGTGCCGGTTGATCTGACCTCAGGACGAATTTCATTGCCTCATAACTTCTACAATTTAGTGACGTCAAAAGAAGAATTGGTTGAAAAAGTATTTCCCAACATTCAAACCAATTATAAGACTCACGATTGGCTGAGTGAACGAGCTATTCTTGTGGCCAAGAACAAAGACGTCTACGAACTTAACAATATTATTCAGTCTAACATTCAGAGCGAGGCAGTCACATGCAAGTCCGTCGACACTGTTGAAGAAGCAGATGAAGCGGTTAATGATCCAACAGAATTTTTGAAATCACTCGATCTGCCAGGAATATCACCACACGTACTGCAATATATATTCGGCGTGCCAATTATCATGTTGCGAAATATCAACCAGCCAAAACTTTGCAACGCCACGCGCCTTGCAGTAAAAAAAAAGTGTGTGTGTATGTGGGTGTGTGTGAGTGTGTGTGTGTGTGTGTGTGTGTGTGTGTGTGTGTGTGTGTGTGTGTGTGTGTGTGTGTGTGTGTGTGTGTGTGTGTGTGTGTGTGTGTGTGTGTGTGTGTGTGTGTGTGTGTGTGTGTGTGTGTGTGTGTGTGTGTGTACTCACCTAGTTGTGTTTGCGGGGGTTGAGCTCTGGCTCTTTGGTCCCGCCTCTCAACCAACAATCAACAGGTGTACAGATTCCTGAGCCTATCGGGC